GGCATGCGACGTTGGCTTCGGGGTTTTTCAGTTATTAGATAACACAGCTAGCGTGCGGATCTGGACCAGCTCAAATTGTATTTTTACTTATTACACTCCTATTTAAATATATTTTCTACCTTACAATTTATCCACGTGTTTTCTCTGTTTACACACCGAATAACCTCAATAGAACGTAATAGTAAAATTCGAACCACCGCTTGTGAAAGAAGAAATAGTACAATGCAAAAGGTGCCAAAGGTACTGTCACACGCAGAAATACTGCAACCATACCTTCCGCTGCGTTAAATGTGCAGGCATACACTCCACTGACCAGTGTGCTAAATCACCGGAAACCCCAGCGAAATGCATCCACTGTCAAGGTGACCATCCGGCCAACTACAAAGGCTGCTCAGCCTATAAAACTCTATACACAAACAGGTACCCTAAACTCAGAGCAAAAGATGTAACCAGCCAAACACCCAGCCCGCCGAAATTCACGACTACCCCAATCCCCTCAACCAACCAAATACCAAGTCCTACTAAATACATCACTACCTCAACCTCCTATACTCAAGCAATACAAGGCATCCAAGATAACGCGAATAGCCAAAGGGATGTTTCCCAAAATAGTGTCCCCAATTCTCCTAACACAGACAACTTCTCTAGGCTTGAAAAGCTAATAGGGAAACAATCGGAGCAAATAAATAATTTTCGACATCTGGCAATCATCTTACTCGAAGAATAGGGTCTGCGTGTTGCGAGCTACAGGACAGAGACCGTTGGTATGATTACTGTCGAGTGTTACAACTATTTTCTTTTTAAAGAGAGCTTTTGAATTACTCCATGTCTTTGTTAGACAAAGCGTTCATCCCGTGACCGCGGCTACGTTCGGCGACTGACTGTTGCCCCGAGCTCAAGTTTATTATCACAAATCGCAAACAAGTACAATGATAGCAAATCGCTTAATTACAACTGTAAACTTTAATGACAATTTTACGGATTTTCCGAAGTTCCAGAGGGAAGGTCTCCGGTGTCCTCTCATCTCCGACATATATAATAACATTAAATTATACTGTATACATGTATATATTTTATTTTACCCACCAAGTGATACAATAATGAACAGAAACTAATTATTCTTGCGTAGTCTTTATATGCAATTTTTCTAAATGATGCAGAAATATTTCGATATTTCTTTCCATCTCTCGACAAACTACATTCTCTATTCCCAACTGCTTTCGAGTATGCTCTATCCATCCTTATTTCTACAATTCCAGTAGTCACTGTCAACACGTGTTCATATTAGTACCACGCCCCAACACCCCAGCGGAAAGGCCCACGGTGGCACCGGAATCATAATCAAAACAAGTATTAAGCACTACGAACTTCCATCATTCCAGAAAGACTACCTCCAAGCAACAAACGTAGCAGTAGAAGACTGTCGTGGTACCATCACCACCTAAGCAGTATACTGCCCTCCCAGACACTCCATCGCCAAAGAAGACTTTGATAACTTCCTGGACACCCTGGGCAATAGATTCATAGCTGGAGGAGACTATAACGCCAAGCACACTCAATGGGGTAGCAGCCTGGTTACAGTAGGAGGCAGAAACTTCTTAAACAGCATAATAACCAACAACTTCAACTACCTCACCACATACGAACCCACATACTGGCCCACCGACACTAACAAAATATCCGACCTTCTGGACTTCTTCGTAACTGAAAATATCTCATCAAGACACGTCCAAATCAACTCCTCGGCTGATCTCTCCTCTGATCATTCCCCCGTGATAGCAACAGTCAGTCCAACAATTATCGAGAATACACCTAATGGCTCCATTCAGAACCAACACACCAACTGGCAGCTCTTTAGAGAAGTCTTTACACACTGAACTTCAGCCTAAACTTCACTAAAAACTAAGGAAGAAATCGAAGCAGCCACGGAATACTTAAACACGAGCATAATAAACGCCATCCGCCTCTCCACGCCGAAAAAGACGTCCATCAGCAAATAAGAATATCCCCAATACATACAAAAAAAATAGCAGAAAAACGCAGACTAAGAAGAGTATGGCAGACCCACAGAACTCCGGATGACAAACGCAAACTAGACAACGCAACTAGAAAGATATCCAAAACCAACAATTACAAAAACGACTGTTTCTAAAAATATCTCGCCAGTTTATCCCCCACAACGCCCCACAGCTGACTCCAACTACTCGCTATGGAAGGCCTCCAGGAAACTCACACGCCCCCCACAAATAATCACCCTAATCTGCCTACCGCAGGGTGGATGGGCGCGTAGCCCTATAGAAAAAGCCGACCTGTTTGCCAAATACTTGTCTAAAGTATTCAAACCCCA